CAGAATACATCACGGGGGGCTATGGTGTAAATAAACATAACAAAACCACAATACATCACGGGGGGCTATGGTGTAAACAGGCATAACACAACTACAATACATCACGGGGGGCTATGGTGTCAACAAGCATAGTGTAGTGCATCAGCATATGTCTGCAAAGCATGGGCGCTCTAAGTATCGAAAAGCACGGTGCTATTCATATAGGGTAATGATAAAAGCACGGTGCTATTTATATAGGGTGATGATGAAGGCTATTGGTCTAGAGGAGTCTGCTCAGGTGTACGACCAGGCACAATGTAGAGGTATGAAGGCTAACAGGTGTATAAAAGCAGACATCATATTAACGGGATTGGCACGCACGCCTGCAATGTGAAACTACTGAACGATGCCTGGTTTATTCGCGCACAGCAAAACAAATCACAGCCAGTTATACTGTACATAAAATAAAATAAATCGTAATCGTTATCTTTGCAGCGCAAGTACACACAACACGACGCAGAATTTAAGAATCAAATTCAGTCAGGGATGCAGCACTTGAGAGGTCTCGCACAAGATCAGCCCAAACTTGCAGGCCCCGCAGGCTTGTGCCGTATATCGCAGCCGACTATAAACTTCTCTCTAGAATCTAGCATGAACATGTTTAAGACAACATACATACCGGCGGCGGTCCACGGTCAGCCTGCCCTAGGTGCATTCGGTTGTTATCCGGCTGAAAAGGTGTGGGCGACCCCGGTCCATATGCCAATGAAGGATCCGCCTGTGCATACATCGCGTTTTCAGAACTGCCTCCCTGGAAATGTAGCCTCTGAGCATATTCTGATTGCGGCGCACCTTGGTATCTAGTAGGGTGTATCTCGGGTGAGCTCTGCTGTGCGAAATGTCCGTTGTACTGCGGGTGTCGGTACTGTGCCTCTGGTACAGCTTGCCCGTTAGAGGCATATGTATGCTCGGTCTCTAGCTCGTTTTGCCCACGGTGCTGTAGTGGTGCATTCGCTGGTTGTGCGTTGTGTTGGTTTTGGTCAGGCTGTGCCTGTTGTTGCGCATATTGTTGTTGCTGATACTGGTAGTACGACGATTCCCTCAGTTTCTGCTCAGCTTGCAACTGCTGTCGCTGCTGCTGGTTAAACTCATCTGATTGCTGCTGGCTATTCCCATATATGCCTGGGCTTTGGTTAGGTGACTGTACTTGTTGTGCCATGGGCTGTGTCTGTTGTGGGGTGGTCGGTAGTTGTTGTGATGTGTACTGTGCAGTCTGTGCATCAGCTTGTGCTGAATGTGCGTGTGACTCTGACGTATTTGACTGGGGCATAGCGGCCTTCAACTGCGGCGACTTCTGTGCTGCCTCGGCCTTTTTCTTCTGCATAGCCTCGAGCTGCAGACAGGTGTTCGAGGGAAAATGTGTCAGTTCGTTGAAATGCAGACCGGCAGCTAATGTGCTGCTCTAGAATGTGGAATTGAAATAGATAATTGATAATTGCATACACTATACTAATTTTCGACTTCCTTTTACTTAAATATTTAAAAAAAACGGAGTTAGCAAGGGAACACTATGCTCATAAGAACTTAGTTCTCGAGTTGCCTGAACACGAGTTCTCGAAGATGCTCCAATACGTACACAAGCAGAGTTTATCAGCAAAAATAAGGTCTATATAAATCTACTTCTATCCACAAACAATAGTATCAACATCGACTGTTTCCTACTTCGTCGATGCTAGGTCGATGCTAGGTCGATGCTAGGTCTATGTACACATAAACACATACATATACGCACACACACACACATGCACACATGCACACACACACACATGCACACATGCACACACACGCACACGCACATGCACACACACAACACACAACTATATATATATATATACAGACTTATACTATATACATATATACATACATACATACATACACACAC